TTTCGCTTCCCACCCAGCTCCCTGCTTGTGGCTTGGGAAAGCAGTTGAAAATGGCCCAAAGCCTTGGGACCCTGCACCTGCAAGGGAGACATGAAAGATGTTCAGCTCTGGCCATTGCAGCCACTTGGGGAAGTGAATTATGGGACAAGAGACCTTCCTCTCTGTCTCTGCTTCTCTCTGTATATTTGACTTTCCAATAAAAACAACTAAATCTTTTTTTTTAAAAAGTAAATGGTATTTCAATTAAATACTATCTTTTTGTATTTTAAAATTTTATAAAAACCCATACTCACATAGGTGAAAAATATGTATTTTTCCAGTGCTAAAAATAATTATTTGTACATATATACTTTTACTCCTGCAGTGCAGTTGATGCCGCCTCAGTGCTGTCATAAAAGTAGGAAAGCTGCCCTTGAGTAATGTAATTGATGAACCCATCTTTCACCATTCCTTTTATTAGCTTGATAGTAAATGAAACTTAATCTTCTACCCAAAATAGCAAACACCAATATATTACTACTGATTTCTTGCCATCTAGATGAGAAACAAAATGTTACATCCTGACATATTTTCCTGCTTTAAACCAACTCCAATATCTGTGACCATTTTCATAAGTGTGCTATATTTGAGTGACTATATAAATTCTTTCATTTGCTACATAATTGTATTATAAATTCTTTAATTATATAAAATTTTAAATTATATAAATTATAAGTATACAGTATTATAAATATGAATTATAAATTATAAAGAAAATATAAATAAATTATAAATCATTATAAATGTATAAATTATAATTATAATTATTATAATTATATAAATTCTTTAATTTTCTACATAGTTGTATTATCCTTGGTGATTCTCTCAAACATGGATTAGACTCTTCCTGTTGAGATCTGTCTGTCCTACTTTGTTTGATTGATTCCCTACATATTCCAGGTCTGTGATTATACGTCATAAGCACCCTGATAAACTGAGATGAAAAAAAAAGTGGCTGACATAACAAAAGAAGGGGTAAAAAGCCCGTGACACAAGAAACACATCGACTGCTCTAGGAGAATGGGTTAACGAACAGAAAGAAGGATTGAAAATAAATTTAGAGCAGCAGCCTATTAAAATTACGCACATAATTCCTTATAACCTTTATTTGTTCTATTTAAATCCCAAAGACGGAATTTCTAGTGATATCACATTTCATGGACAAGCTACAGAGTTTGATTATACAAAATGATGTTTGGAATGTAGCATACCATGAGAGAATGGTAATCCTTCAGAACCAAGCTATGGGTTATTTTAAAAACGGAAAGAATGATCATCACTTATAAAGAAAAAAAAAAGAAGTTGTGTTTTTAGCTTTTGGCATCAGTTTAAACGATGGGGCTGCTATACGTTTCAAGTACACTAAATGTCTGTTGACTCATATTGCTGGATATAATTCACATTGCTATAATTTAGAAAAATGTCTCTGACTATAAATATGTCCAGTCCCCTTGGTTCTGTACTGATGCTTAATTGTTATCTTGCTTTTATCTTCCAAAATAGCTTATATGTAAGTGGTGAAAATGGAAAATATATAAAAAAAAACTTAGAACCAAACTGTTCATTGAGGATGTAATGATGAATAAAGCATGGTGTTTTCTCTTTCCAAGCTTCCAGCTTACAAAGTCTAATGTTTAGGCAAATAAGTAGGCTGAGTCATGCCTTCTGTTTCCTGGTGAGTAGATGTCCACAATGTTATCTGCACAACCCAAAATTCAAAGCTGAAAAAATGTTCACCCATAATCAATTTTCTTCCAAATCCACACTATACATTTTTAGACCTATAAATTATAAATGTGAAAATACAGCATGATTTTATATTAGACATGTTTCAACACAATAAAAATCCCATGGGAACATATATTTGTATATGAATATCATGGATTTAAAAGTATTCAGTGGGCCCGGTGCGGTGGCACAAGTGGTTAAGGTCCTCGCCTTGCACGCCCAGGATCCCATATGGGCGCAAGTTCTATCCCATATGCCCCGCTTCCCTTTAGCTCCCTGCCTTGGGCCCGGGAAAGCAGTTGAGGACGGCCCAAGGCTTTGGGACCCTGTAGTGCGTGGGAGACAGGGAAGAGGCTCCTGGCTTTGGATCAGCATAGCACCGGTCGTTGCGCTCACTTGGGGAGTGAATCATCGGATGGAAGATCTTTCTCTCTGTCTCTCCTCTCTGTATATCTGCCTTTCCAATGAAAAAATAATAAAAATAAAGCTTTTAAAAAGTATTCAGTTTATTCCTAAAATAACTAGATCAGACAATATATTTGTATAAATTAATATTATGAGAATGTTTCTTGTTTTTTGTTCGTTTGTTTTGTTTTGTTTTGTTTTGTTTTTGCTTCAGGTTCTTGCCTCTATGTAATGTAATAATTCAAAGAATGGATATAAATGCATAAACACAAGCAGGATTTGCTTGCAGACAGACACACTATTTGATTGTTAATATGGATAACCCATTAAAAAAAAAGCCGCACCTCATGAGAAAGAGGAAAGAGAGAGAGAGATTGAGAGAATTTTTAAGAATTCATAGTTTAACCCCTGTATTTGTGTAAATACAAATTCTCTATGATTGCCCTGATTAATGAGGAAGGTTGTATGGGGAAGCATCTAGCTTCAATAACAGTAAAGCACACTGGGCCACTCCCTGAAGTTCATATGTATACATTGTATCATATATGATATACACATATGATATATATGATAGTTATACATATATATATCATATATGATAGTTCTCTTTTGCAGCTCACATTTGTGACTCCTTTCCATTTTATATTTGCTTTTTCTAGCTTCATGTCTACCCTATAAACCAACATGCTGTCTATTGTTTCATCTTCCCTGTGTTTTCATTAAATGATTTCCCTCGCTTGGAACACTATCTCTCAGTCTTACTCTGAGCTTCATCATTCATAGGCTCATTTAAGTTCAACACTTTACATCGTGCCCTTTCTTATTCTCACACACTGAATTTACCTCCACTCTTTGAAAATGTATACAATGTTGCTTGTATCTCCTTTATCTTAGTGAAGTTATTTATGTGAATAATAGTTAAACTGTGGGGCCAACATGATGAAGTAGTTGGCTGAACTTCTGAGGCACTGACATCCCAGGTGAGTGCTGGTTCAAGTCCAGGTCACACCACTTCTTTTACAGGTCCCTTATAATGACACGGGGAAGCAGTAAATGATGGCCCAAGTGCTTTGACCCCTGCACCCACAAGGAAGATTCAGAAGAACCTCCTGGCACTTAGCTTCAGAAAGGTCCATCACTAGCAATTGGGGCCATTTGGGGAATGTACCAGCATGTAGAAGTTCTCTCTCTCTCTGTCTCTCTGTCTCTCTCTCTCTCTCTCTCTCTTCTCGTTCCCTCACTAACTCTTTAATTGTTTCAAGTAAAATAAACAAATCTCTTAAAAGATTGAAAATGGGCTGGTACAATGGCTCAATGGCTACATCCACAATTTGCAAACTCCAATATTCCATATGGGTGCTGGTTCCTATCCAGAATGCTCCACTCCCCATCCAGCTCTCTGCTTCTCTGTCTTTTTATAAATCGATCTTTCTAATAAAAATAAATAAATCCTAAAAACATTTTAAAAAGTCAAATGTCAAGAAGACATAAGTTTTCTTCCATCCAAGAAAGTCCTCTGGCACAAGATGTTGGACTGTTCTTTGACTGTATTTGAATACCAGCTCCAAAGATTACTGCTGACATGCAGTAGGATTAAAGAGAATTTTGCTTTCCTGTTTAATTACCAGTTTTATTCTTTGAAAGAAATACACAGGGGAGATCTGAAAAAGTTGTTCTGAATAAAACAGGAAAGGAGTGGTAAACATTGAGTTTCCTGTAGTTTATACTAATGAGGTGTTTTTTTTTTTTTTTTTTTTTTTTTAGTATTTGATACTTACTTTAGGTAATATGATGCAAAAACTATTTTGTGCCTTAATTTCTGTTTCTTTAACATTCTGTTAGGTGCATTAACATTTTTGTACTTACCGTTCTATTTCATTTATTTAGCATTTTGCATTTATTTCTGTACAAATGTTAGTTTTTCTAAGACATTTTCCCATAAAGGTATGTTATTGTTTATGGAAAATCTAATGGGCATTGTGTATGAGACAACACAAGTGAAAAAGTTTGGTGAGCTTTGTGTACTCACTAGGTCATGCTTCAGCCTTAGATTTTTGAATCCGCAATGTTTACGAACTTCATTTCTCAACCTTTGTTAATCAATGTTGATAAAGGTTTCAGACTCATGCATTTCAGTGTGTGCCAGATTTTCTCTCTGTCTGATTATTACCCTCAAAGATTAATAGAAATATCACCATATGTAAATTAGCTCTGCTGCAGAATGAAATATGCATTTGCGCAATTATAGAGCTGGGTATAGCAACATTTACATTAACTCTCTAGCATTTGTACAGCAATATTAGTCTATCCATCTATGATTGGAATCTGGGTATTGTTTTGGTTTTAAATTATTATCAAATACGTGAAATTTAGTGTATGTTTAAGTTTCCCAAGCTTCAAGGCAGAGTCAGATTCGTTTATCAGGTGTTTTTGTGACTACTCAAAGTATGAATTTTTACAAAATATTTTGTGAAGAAAACAGAGTATGCACTTACTCAAATACACCCTGTGATACAATAGGGGAAAGGTATAGGATGCTATTTCGTGAATTACCAGGATCACCAAAATAAAAATAGAGTGTGTGAGAAATCAGTATTTTAAATGGGAAAATAACTTTCATGAAAGCAAAACTGTGCAGAACCTATGTTATTTACTTGCAAAGTTAATTTCAAAGAATCTGAAATAGTCATTTAAAAAAATGGTGTTTATCATTGAGTAAAGTAATGCCATTTATCATGTGCTGCAATAGCCATGTGGATCCATTTGTTGAACCCAAAAATCTTGTTTTTAATGATCTCTATCTATTTTTTCTTTCTGTTTCTCTGAAGGCACAACAAATTACTCCTCTTCGGCACAATGGACACAATGACAGTTCTCAAGTTGAGGCAACAAAGGAAGGAAATCCAAGTACCACCGTCTGTGATTCTCAAGAAGTAAGATGAACTTAAAAACTATTTTTAATAACGTCATATATGCTTCCTTCCCTAAGTATAGAAGGAGGCTTCTTAATTGTATGCAGTAACTAAAAAATATTATGCCTTTAACAAATGCATTTATTTTTATCATTTGATTTGTATAAGATGAACAAATTTCATGTATTTCACAATACAGACTTAGAAGCATAATGATAATTTCCACCCTATAATTTTTTCTGCCTATGTTTCCACCCTGCATCTTCCTCCTTTTTTCTTATTATTTTTAATTTTTCTACAATAATATACTTTCAGTTCATGTCATAATCAAAATCATAAACCTCCATTACATAAATAATACAGCAAATAGTCAAAAGGAAAAAAAAACACAGTTCCTTAAGATCATATACAAAAGCTGTAAATAGTAATCAAAACTCAAAGTGACTATTTTGTTCATGTCAGTTTCTTGCTTAGTGTATCAGTTCTCACAATTCAGAGAAAAATAAATAGTGTTTGTCTCTTGGGGACTGGCTTGTTTGCTGAAGCAAAATATTTTCTCTGCTTTTAAATTCAAGAATAGAACTGTTCTTTGTATATGAATTTTATTGTGAAGTATAGCTGCAGTCTTACGGTAATTGCGAATGTGAGTTTTTCCAGGTGAGTGGCAAAAAGGTTAAGCAATGTGGTTATTCTCACACCATATACATATGTTGAAATATTAAAACCCAAAACAGGGCCCGGAGCAGTGGCCTACCGGCTAATGTCCTCCCCTTGCATGCCCAGGATCCCATATGGGCACTGGTTCTAATCCCGGCAGCTCCGCTTCCCATCCAGCTCCCTGCCTGTGGCCTGGGAAAGCAGTCGAGGACGGCCCAAAGCTTTGGGACCCTGCACCCGCATGGGATACCCAGAAGAAGTTCCTGGATCCTGGCTTTGGATTGACATAGTATCAGCCATTGCGCTCACTTGAGGAGTGAATCATTGGACGGGAGATCTTCCCCTCTGTCTCTCCTCTCTATATATCTGACTTTCCAATAAAGAATTAAATCTTAAAAAAAAAAGACCCAAAGCAAACACACATTTCCACAGAATGTGATTATATAGTATGGCGCACATAAAGCAAATAGAATCAACTACGGAGTTATCACATTGGAAGTATTTTTCAGGGACCAGTGTTGTGTTGTGGCAGGTAAAGTCTGTGACGTCAGAATCTCTGTGGGTGACATTCAGATTCTAGATGCTCTTCTTCTTCTTCTTCTTCTTCTTCTGCTTCTTCTTCTTCTTGTTCTTGCTCTTGCTCTTCTTCTTCTTTTAATTTTAATCCATAGGTTTTGGGATTTCCCTTCCCCAATCCCCAAGAATACCCCCACCACCTATTTCCCCTGTTTTAATACAGTGGTATAGTTCTTTATAAACAGTCATAAATCCATCACTGCAAGCACGAAGAACGGCAGAGAGTCCAGCATCCTATTGTCAGGATATAGTAAACAGTTTCATTGGGAGTCTTTCTTTGATCTGAAACTGTAGATGCATAGTACATTTATCTTCACATCTGGATATGATATTCTCCATTACACAGTTACTGTACATCACCTTAATTGAAAAGCCACAGTGTAAAATCAACAACAGAAAGAAAAACAGAAATTTACAGTACAATGAAGTTAAATAACATGCTACTGAATAACTAATAACTAACTGAATCAATGAAGAGTAATGAAGAGTAATATCAAAAACCTTCTTGAAGACATCGTATGACTACTTCTAATCCAGCTGCTGCTAATGTACATGAGAAAATGTTGGAAGAAGGTTCAAGTTCCTATATGATTTTTCAGGTCTCTTGCTTGGATATGTGTCTGTCTTGGCCACCACATCATCTGGACAGTGATCCAGTGGATGGAATGCCTCTCTTTCTCTCTCCATGTCTGTCTCTCTCTCTTTCTGTGCATTCCTGCCAATCAGATAGTTAACTAACTAAATGAATATGATTTTGAAAATATTTTTGAAGAACAATTTTATGCATTCCATAGGTAAAGTCCCCAAAGGACAATCATACTGCCCTCATTCTTCTGCTCACCTCAATCTCCCTCCTTCTTCTTTCCTCCTAAGTTTTTGCAAAGACATAATATTCCACTCTATATTTTCACAAACTTACTTCTTAGCTAATACTAGTATTCAACAAATAAGAAGTTGGAAGGATAGGCAAGAGGTAACCAATATTATCACATTCCCAAATGATATGTTACTTGCTCTTTCAGAACTGATTTTTTTTTATCCATTTTGGTGAAAAAACAGATTTAATTTCTTTTTAAAACTGGGTAGTATTAAAAAATAATAATAAAAATAAATCTTTAAAAAACTGGGTAGTATTGCATAAAGTGTATATACTACATTATCGCATTCAGTCATCTTTGTTTGGTTGGTTCCAGTCTTAGCTATTGTACAGTTAGCTGCAGTAAAGAGAAAGGGTACAAATAACTCCTTCATATGCTAATTTCATTTGCTTTGGATAAAGTCTCAGGAGTGGGGTGGTTGGGTCATGTGGTAGATCTATTTTCAGATATCTGAGTAGTCTGAATACTGTTGTGCATAATGGTTATACCAGTTTATATTCACTTCAACTGTAAATTGGTGCACACTTTTCTGCACATCTGTGTCAGTGTTGATCATGCTATTTTATAATGACTGTTCTAACCAAGGTAAGGAAAACATTATTGTGATTATTCCTTTTATTTCCCTGATAGCTCCTTACCATAAGGATCTTTTCATGTTTATGTTGTTCATTTGTATTTCATCCTTTATTGCCTATACATATCCTTTGCCTATTTCATAACTCAGTTATTTGTTTTGTTGTTGAAATCATGAGCTCTTTATAAACCCTGAGCATTAATATTTTTAGTTGCATGGTGTATAAACATTCTCTATCCTTCTGTCAGTTAGCTCTCCATGTAGTACATGGTTGCCTTAATGAAGTTCTTAGTTTGATGTAATCCCATTTATCTATTTTTGTCTTACTACTTATGCTTCTGGAATTTGTTTCACATGCTTATGCCAATGTCTTGAAGTATTTCCATGGTTTTGCTTCTAGAAATGTTATGGTATCACATTTCAGATTTTTATCATTTATCCATTTAGATTGTGTGTGTGTGTGTGTGTGTGTGTGTGTGTGTGTGTGTGTGTGTGTGTAAAGTGCAGTATAAGGGTCTTGGCTTTCCCTTCTGTGTGTGGAGTTCCAATTTCCCCAGCATCATTTATTGAAGAGTCTGTTCTTTCCTCAGGGATTGATTTCAAGTCATCTGTCAAAGATTAATTGGTTGGAAATATGTGGCTTGAATTCTGGGGGTTCTATCCTGTTTCATTGGCTAGATATCTAGATATGTTTTGTCTTAGTACCAGACTATTTTGTTTATAATTGTTCTGTATTATCTTGTATTATCATGCTTCCAACTTTATTTGCTTCAGCTATCCAGGGATTCTTCCTTCCTTTATGAATTTTAGTGTCATTTTTTTTCTAGAACTGAGAAGGAATAAATTGGTACTTTGATAGGGATTGTGCTGCCTTGATTGTGTTGAGGGATGTTTCTTCTCCACTGAATTTGCCTAAGATTTATATCATAAAAGGATGTTGTATTTTATCAAACTCTTTCTTTGTATCTACTGAACTAATCATATGCTTTTTAGTTTTCAGTTATTAATGTGACAAATTAACATGATACATTACATTGATTTGCTTATGTTTAACCATCCATGCGTACCAGGAGTAATTTCCAGTTACTCCAAATAAATGATCATTCTAATGTGTTTTTGGATTTGAGTAGCTAATGTTTTATAGATTTTCACATCCATGTTCATCAGGGATAATTATCAATTGTTCTCTTTCTTTGAGGTTTCTCTTTTCTGGTTTTTCAATTAAGATGCTTGTCTCATTCAAGGAGTTTGGAAGGATTTTCTCCTTTTCAATTGTTTTAAATAGTTTAACAAGAATTGGAATTACTTCTTGAAAATTTGGCAGAATTCAGCAGGCAGGCCATCCTGCCCTTTCTGTCTCAGGGTTTTACAGCTGTTATTTACCGTAGCTGCAGTGATTCAATCCCATTCTTTTTCTTTTTTTTAAAAGATTCATTTTTATTATTTTTTTATTGGAAAGGCAGATATACAGAGAGGAGAGACAGAGAGGAAGATCTTCCGTCCGATGATTCACTCCCCAAGTGAGCGCAACGGGCCGATACTATGCCGATCCGAAGCCAGGAGCCTCTTCCGGGTCTCCCACGCGGGTGCAGGGTCCCAAAGCTTTGGGCCGTCCTCTGCTGCTTTCCCGGGCCACAGGCAGGGAGCTGGAAGGGAAGCGCGGCTGCCGGGATTAGAACCGGCGCCCATATGGGATCCCGGGCGTGCAAGGCGAGGACCTTTAACCACTTGCGCCACCGCGCCGGGCCCAATCCCATTCTTTTTCTTGGTTTACATAGGTTTTCTATCTGTTCATGACTGAATTTTTGTGCATTATGATTTTTTTGTAAAAATCATTCTAACTGAAGTCATATTGAAAAATATAGAGCTCATATTCTGTAATTTTTCACCTAAAATAAATAAAATGAAATTCATGGATTTTGGCAGAATAAAGCTTGCATAATCTTTCATGTCTAGTTTTGACGCAAAAAATAACAATGACTCTATTGAATTGCTTCTTGATTAGTCTTCAATCCAGAAAGGAAAGCATTTGCTAAAATTAAAAATTCTGGAATGAAATCAAACTGCAACTAAAGAAACTAAGTAAGAGTCGAAAGACACGTTAATAAAATCAAATATGTTAAATCTACTGGCTGACGAAGTAGATTAGCAAACTGAATTTATGAATGTTTGCAAAAACATTGTATGTGTGAACATGTACTCAAACCATTCCGTTTTGCATATGCTGCTAATGAGAAGTAGACATAAATTACCCTGTAATTTACTTCCAGTGAGAGTAGAATTAAAAAACCATAGGACAGGAAGGAACAATTTTGCCATAAGTTATAAGATGAATG